CCCCCCAAATCTACAACTATTCTATGAAATAAAAGTAATCTTACTTCTTAAAACTATGCTAGAAGTTCAGTTTCTATTTAAAATAATGAACGCTTTCAAATAAGAAGATTGCAGACATACATTTGGACAAATTTTTAGAGTTAGGGCAACTACAGTTGTCCTAAAGACTGCAAATACTTGGACATGTACTCAACAAGACAATTTTTTTTTCCCTCTCCACATAAAGAAGGCTCCCTAAGCAACGATTTTTTTAGTTTTCCCCTGGTGACATTTTTGCACACAGTTGCTTAGTATTTTATTGCTCTTACCAGTTTCTAGATGGGAAAACGCGTATTGACTGCTAGAGGAGGAACCCATGTTAAAATCCTCTGAACTTTGAGCTTCTTCACCATCAGCTGGAGCTTCCTCCTGACTTTGAGTTTCTTCCAGTTTTGGAGCTTCAAGTGTAACAATGTCAGAATCATCGCTAATAGTTCCAATGCAGGACCCATCATCAGGGATTTTGTCTTTCTTTCGCTAGGGAAATGGTCAATGTGAAAATTATTAAGATACCTACAATATAAAGTAATTTAAAAAAACAAGAATAATTCTTAATGCTTTAAAAAAAGGAAATATCAGTATCTTTAATGCCTTCAAAATATTGCTTTGCATTGTCAGATGGGGCTTACAGAAGCTTCTGAGTAACATAACATAATTTACCTCTGGAACCGTCTGAGTTTCCTCAACAGCAGAGAGAGTATTATCTACCGCTGCTATCTCTTCACCATTGTTGCACTGAGCTATATAAATAAAAAGAGAAGCAAACAAACATGGGATTAAAACCAGTTACCACAAATTACGACCACTCCCATATAATATTAAAGTATGTGTAATTGTGACAGATTTCTATTATCTACTCATATCACAGAAGGTTTTATAAAAATATACTAAGTCTCATTTTTAATATTCCTCTAACAAACATCAGAATCCAGTTTGTCATTATGTAATACAATGTTTTAGAGAATACTTAAATTCAAATGCTCATCCTGGTCATAATGCAAGTAATCTATAAATGAAAATCACAGTTAGATAAAAACCAACACTATACTATAAGTTGATACCACAGTACATTTGTATGCTAGGATAATTAAAATATTTTCCAGATAGTCATTGGAGTTTGAGTGTCTAGTCGTGTTTCTACAAGGAAACATCATTAATTTAGAAACATAGCCAAGCTCAAATTCAGTCAACTGCACACTGAACCCATCACATCTGTGTTCTCATACCAACATTAACAAATTGAGTATTAAATTTAGTAATTAAAATAGGTGGAAGGATTTTCATTATATTAATATGCACTGGACTTCTACTTTCAACTCGAGAAATGCTAACACAGTGCCACAATGTTATTTTTTAGGTGTAAAAGCATTGATGGCTCCTTCCAAATTACTCTTATTTGATCTATGACATTATTAAGGAATATTTATTTGACCAAAAGCACTTCTATAAACTATCTTCCAGCAACACCAGTGCATACTATTCTCTAACACATCTAAAGTATTGACAAAATGAAACACATTCTACTAATTTCATCTGTTTCAAGAAAACTACTTTTATAAAGTTGATGACCGAATATTTTCCATAACACAGACGAAGCAAGTACTTTGACAGAGGCCTACAAAGTATACAAACTCTACTAAAAATACTAATTCTGTGCCAATAGTACAACAGATACTTAGCGATTTTATGGAACTTCTCCTCTTTTAATATCTTACCTTGCAAATCAATTGATTGCTCCTCTTCTTGCAAAGAAAGGCATTCTTCTGAAACAAACTCATGGTTATCATTTGTGCTTCCATTTTCTGAAGTCACTGTCTCTATGTCAGAACCCTGGAGTTGAAGAGTTTTAAATAAACGTTACAGTTATCGGGGTTTTCATCAATAGAGCAGAAGAAAAGGGTTACAAAGAAAACCGAACATTAATAATAAAAACAGAAGAGAAGAATAATAACCTTTAAAACTGAAGAAGATTTTAAGCAAAGAAAGTAAGAGGAATACCAAGTAATTAACTAGAGGGAAATAACTGTTAGTGCATAATACTTATGACGATGACTGAAAACAGGTAGAGAAGGACAATTCTAGGGGAAAAAAAAAAAAGGCAGTTTAGGCATCAATTAACAACTATGCTAACTATTTTCTATTAGCTTTATTAAACCTGTGTATTAAATAGAATTTAGAGAAACAAAGGAGGTTGTCAAATGAGTTTTGAACATGGGATGTAATTCTTGCACATACGGCCATCTATTGTATGTATATACACACACTCTCCCCAAAATGGAACTGCAAGAGTACCACCATGAACTATAAGAAGTACTACTACCAGGAAAAGATACGTATAACTCTAAACAAATTTGAATGGCTGTTTTAACAGTACAGCTCTAATACCAGGAAAATAAATATTTATACAATCTCTAAATTGGATTTCTGTCTTTAATCCAGAAAGAAGCCTTAGTTATTAGTCAGCTGCCAGTCAGCAACAACCCCAGAGAAAAACAGGAACGCTCACAGACTGCAGGGCACTAAAGGCCTAAATATTTAATCTTCATATTGTAATTTTTATTGAAAAGAACTGATAGAACACAATTTAGGTTATTAGAAAACTATAAACATGCAAAAAGTAACTGAAAAACACTAAGTCACTCTGATCCATAAATAACTTGAGCTGTTTTTGTAAACAGAGAGTGTTATTTTTGCAACAGCAGGTGTGAAATTACAGTAGTAGTAATACTTGCAGATCAGTTTCCCAAGATGCCTCATTTCAGGACTCAAGCAAACATGTATACTTTTGTTTTTAAGAAGAAACTGTACTTCAGGAAGATTAGATAGCTCAAAAACAGTTCCATAAGATATATTCTACGATCACATTACAAAGTTATGTTCCTTTTTAAAAGGCTTCAAAAATTAACTGCTTTAGTAATTTGACAAATACTTTGTATTATTTTCTTTTTTACTATGAAAGTATGACAATTTTAATCTCAAGTGTTTTGCAGAAATTCACCACTCACTTATAAGTAACTTATTAAAAACTGAGTGGAATCTCAGGAAAGAAAATATAAAATTATTTGGAGTTTTGGCTTGGTTGGGTTTTATAGATAGGTATATAGATTTATTATGTGACAATTGTTCTCTGGTGTAACAGAACCATTACTTTCATTTCTTAAATTGTGAAGAGGAAAAAGAATAACAAAAATTTAGTTTGCCCAGGCTCTACAACAAGGCAAACATCAGCAATACAGCTTAAAACAGATTAATTTTAGCTAAAATACCAAGAAACTGGGCTAGCTGAGTACAAGGTAAGACATCCTTTTTTAAACACGTGCAGTCTAGTGTGAATGTCTGAACTCTCCAATTCACTTAATCTGTTGCTAGACCTCCATGACCCTTCCATTTCATCAAAGAGGTTGAGAAAGGATATTGCCTCCTCACTGCAGTCCTTTTCCTACACAAAATTAGCAAGTCCCTTCTTAAGAGCAGTCCAACGATACACAGCATCACTTCTCTGTTTAAAGCAGATATTAAATTCATCATACACAGCTGTCAATTCTCTGCAACCCCAATCTAGCCAACTGCCATTTCTTGCCCCTCTTAACTCAATGTCTTTGTAAATGGCAAAACAAATCCAGAAACTGATTCTGTTGTGTCATCATCAATACAGGTCACAATAATACATGAGAAAGTAATACTATAGTATTCCAAATTTGTCTAATGCTTAGCTCTATCCCTTTCCTGAATATCCAAACCATTTCCCCGAAGCATACAGGAGCCCACATCACCCCTTCCCTAGATAAGGGTGTGAAGGGTATCTAGCTATCCCGTTCATTCTACTTTCTTCACACTCAGATTCAAAGCTGTCTTGCCAGCAGAACGCCAATAATGGGAGTTCTTAAACACCAGTGTTTTCCCACCCGGAACAGAATTATTTCATTTATTTCAATCAGGGAAGAATAACTGGGAACAGAAAATCTCTACACCATAGAAATCTGTTCTGCTTTGGCTACACAAATCCCTGCCTTCCTATAATCTTGTGTTACATTAATTTATTTAGACTACATAATTCATTTTCAGTTACACCATACAATAACGATCCCAAGTACGAAAATAAAGCCTGCAATTCACAGCTGAGTAACTCAACTGTTGTAGCCAACTCCTAAATCCTTTCACTTTTATCAGAACTCTGTAAGGTCCAGCAGCCTGCGCATTCCTGTATCCTGCTTGGACTGGAGAGAGTGAGTTTTCTGTTTCTCTGTTGGTGACAGGGTTCCCAACTTGTCATCCAAATCAAAACAAAGCAAAGAAGTTTTAGCCATCTCTTAAATACTACCTTGCTGCCGACAGAAATGAAAACATTTATAAGCCACAAACCACACCTCTTGCACTTTTGAAACTGAACTGAGCTTTGAAAACTTGAGTACAATCACAAGCTTGTAATGGCTTACCCTTCAAATCACCCAGATTTTCATTATAATCTGCAAATAAGGGAGCGTGCTGTGAAGGAAAAACAGCTGATCACTACTCATGATCTCTTCCCATTATTTCCTGTTTTCCTCCTACAAAGGTCTGTGTCCTTCTTGTGCTGGGGGCCCCAGAGCTGAAATATCTCAAGCCGTGTTCCTTGAAAATGTTTTGGGGCAGACAAGAAGAAGATACAGCCAACATGTAAGTGTCACTCCAGGAAAACAGCTAACTCATTTGCTCGGAGGATTCTGGTTCAATAACCTGCTCAGTTTACAAGACAACGCTAAATACTTAAAAATCAAAACAAACAAACAAATCCACCCCATACTACACCCACACATCAGTCAAGATCTGAAGAGATACAAAAACCTCCAAGACTAAAGGAGAAAAGTATACTGGAGGTCCACACCAATAGGTAGGGCCTCTCAGAGTTTCTGAGCAACTTAGGCCTGCCTTGTTCACTGCTAGGGGAAAGATAAAACATTAATCTTATCTAAATTCCAGTGTCTACACCTGAGCAAGTTGTTGAAGGCACCTTTACAATCAATACAGTCAGTGGAGTCAAGACAGCAAGTCATTTGATCAAATGTATCTGTTGACCACAGCATAAGAATGATCATTCTCTAGACTCCATTGATTGTATTGATTTAATCTATACAATGCAAACGTAGAAACCAACACCAGATTCAGACGCCTATCCTGTAGACACCTAGGCAATAAGGAATCCCATCCCAACAGACTTTTCATTGCTTCTCTTTTGTTTCTTTTGTCTCAAGCTTTATTCTACTAGGAATTAAAAATTACTTTGAATAAAGCCATTGTCACTTTATACAACTAGTCAAACATCAGAAGATAGGAAACAAACACACAAATTAAACCAGGGCTACGCACTCATAATAGTGACTTTACAAATAGCTATACCCCAAGACTTCAAAGAATGAGGGAATTCTAGCATTTCATCCTAAATAAAAGTATGCCTAGTAAATGAACCTACAGCAGAGATCAAAACATGGACAGAAACACAAGTGAAGCCATATAAATTTGATAGAGCACCACACATAAATTGAATAGGTCTTAAAAGACAAGTATTTTGAACCAAAACTAGCTTTTTGCCCTGCACACAGTCTGTTAGCTCTTTCCACCTTCTGCCACACAAGCTACAATGGCAATTTCCTTACACAATAATTAGATTGCTTTTGTATATTTCCTTATGGAAGATACCTCTTCAGAGACAGTTTGCCTAACAGAAAAAGAAAAAAAAACACACAACATTCTCTTAGTTGCTGCCAGTAGCTCAGTCCTGCACTGCCATATGAATTCTTCCACCACAAGGTGCCAACATCCATTTCTACTTATTTTATGCCTTGTGCTCTCCTGCCTGAGCAATAGGGCTAAGGAAACCCAGAATTTCAACATGAATTGCAAAGAACCATGCTAAAAGCTGCTGCAAGTCCCTGGAGAACACAAAAGAAAGTCACAGAATCACAGAATGGTTTGGTTGGAAGGGACCTTAAAGACCATCTAGTTCCAGCCCCCCTGCCATGGACAGGGACACCTTCCACGAGACCAGGTCACTCAAAGCCCCATCCAACCTGGCCTTGAACACTCCCACGGATGGGGCATCCACAGCTGCTCTGGGCAACCTGTGCCAGTGCCTCAACACCCTCACGGTGAAGAATTTCTTCCTAATACTTAATCTAAATCTTCCCTCTTCCAGTTTAAAGCCATTGCCCCTTGTCCTATCACTGCCTGCCCTTGTAAAAAGTCCCTCCCCAGCTTTCGTGTAGGCCCCTTTAGGTACTGGAAGGCTGCTCTAAGGTCTCCCCGGAGCCTTCTCTTCTCCAGGCTGAACAACTCCAACTCTCTCAGCCTGTCCTCCCAGGAGAGGTGCTCCAGCCCCCTGATCGTCTTTGTGGCCTCCTCTGGACTCGCTCCAATAGGTCCCTGTCCTTCTTGTGCTGGGGGCCCCAGGGTTGAAGACAGTACTGCAGGGGGGGTCTCACCAGAGTGGAGTAGAGGGGGAGAATCCCCTCCCTCGACCTGCTGGTCATGCTTCTTTGGATGCAGCCCAGGATACCCAAGATTGACGGGTCATGTTGAGCTTCTCATCAACCAACACCCCCAAGTCCTCCTCCTCAGGGCTGCTCTCAATCCATTCTCTGCCCAGCCTGTATTTGTGCTTGGCATTGCCTCGACCCAGGTGCAGGACCTTGCACTTGGCCTTGTTGAACTTCATGAGGTCCGCACAGGCCCACCTCTCAAGCCTGTCAAGATCCCTCTGGATGGCATCCCTTCACACCAACGTGTCAACCACACCACACAGCTTGGTGTTGTCGGTCAACTTGCTGAGTGTGCACTCAATCCCACTGTCCATGTCGCCAACAAAGATGTTAAACAGCGCCAGTCCCAATCCCGACCCCTGAGGAACGCCACTCATCACTGGTCTCCACTTGGGACATCCAGCCGTTGACCGTTACTTTTTGAGTGCGACCACCCAGCCAATTCCTTATCCACCAAGTGGTCCATCCATCAAATCCACATCTCTCCAATTTAGAGACAACGATGTCGTGCGGGACAGTGTCGAATGCTTCAAGTCACTTCAAAATTCAATCCTTCTCACAGAAGAATCTCTTACCACCTCCAAGCCTTTCAAGCTGTTAGAGTTTTCAAGATCTCAGGCATGGCAAGCCCTCACCAATCATCATTTTAAGCTCCAAGAAGGCCATAGTTCTCATTCCTGACCTTACAGTACAGATGTAAGGAGAGCTGCCTTGCCCTCTCATCACCTTCACTTCCCAATAAACCTAATAAAATACTGGCATTTCTTTACTCATTGTAGCTTCCCCCAGATTTTGCTTGAGGCAAGAAAGCCTGGGAAAACTTCAGCATCTTGGGTATGGAATATATAATTACATACTTTCTGTAACATAACCCTCTCCAAGTGATTTCCAACCAGTCTTTGTGACACAGTTGACTTCTGGGGACCCCAGATCCTCTAAACAACCCATATATTTCCTTCTCAATGCAGAACAGCACTCCACACAAATGAAAGTGCTTCAAATCATGCAAATAACATCCAATAGGCCTATGCGCACCTCTCTAAACTACCTATGCATTCTGTAAGCAGAAGGAGGCAATGCAAAAGACTAAAGGCAGCACATCTCACAGAGGTCTTTATGCCAGTCCTCAACCTCCTGAGCACAGAGACTCAGCTCAAAGATAGAGACTGTTCCAGTCAGGAACAAAAGCAGTTGGTTATGCACAAACTAGAGCATTCGCATGAGTCTTGAAAATGCCACCTTCTACTATTCCAGTCACTGAGCATAACCTTGTCTCTATCCTATTTTTTCACAGTAAGACAGACAGAATGTAAGGACAGAGGGCTGTTCCTAAACAGCAACTGCTGAAGCTAGGATCAGATAGTGGTAGAAAAGACTTGGAGAAATCATGGAATTGCTCCCTTCTGCATGAGATGTTTTACCTGCCCATTAGTCCCTTTTTTTTTTTTTTTTTTTTGGGGGGGGGGGTGATTTGGAAAGAAAAGAAATCTATTAGCAACAACAGAGAAGTTTCCTAGAATGTCAATGTTTTCAAGAAAGATGGAACAGGGGAGAGCATCTCACTAAAATTCTAGCAGTCTTTCAAAGTAAAACCTTTGCTGAAAAAAATATTCTTTTAAATAACAAAATTGATATCAGCTATAGTAAAAGATACACATTTTTAAGCAGTAGTTTTATGTTTTCTTATTTATAAATCTCTCTTCTATATTCTCTGTTGATATGCAAGATCCACACAAAAGAAAAACTACAAAGTTGAAATAATATTTTACTGCATATGGCTAGTCTTAAACTGACAGAACTTTATTAATTTGAAATTGGGTACCTCATGATTGATGACAGTCCAGCCACAAGATGAATCACTGTCACTGGAATTTTCAGACATTTTCAAAGCACACTGCAAGTAAAAGTAGATTCTTTTAGCATGCAAGATATGTAATTTCACTGCTCATTTGAAAAAAAATAAAGAAAACAGAAGAATCCAAATCATGATGTAACAGAACATTACACTAACTCACATATTGTTATTCTGGCATTAAAAAAAAGAAAGAATAAAAGCTCAGAAAGAAATATATTCTTTTGTACATATTTCCTATTATCTTGTTATAGTTGGAGCAAATATGGCTTTGCTAGGTACGTACCTATTTTAGTCAGCCAAAAAGCTCTCAGACTAGCTAAAAAACACACACACACAAGGCTAGCCAATAAATCAATAATCAAATTAAAAATTTGTCCGCAGCACTGTTGTTTAAGACATGTTTCAGTAGGTGAAGTCATTTCTGAATTGTTACATGCAGAGGAAATACAGTTTATTCAAGAAAAACACCATGGTTTTTTTGAGAAGACACAAATTAGGATCTTTTGGAACTAATTCTCTTCAACTGCTTGGTAAAACAATGTTTCATGTTTCTTTCACTCCTTTCAAGTACTCTCAAATATATTGATACTGAAGAAAATTGACAGAGTATCTGGGAAGTACAAAAACAGAACAAAAAATCCTGAAGTACAAGTTTTATTTGTTACAATACCACCAGATGACTTTGGTAGTTATTTTCAGAAAAGAGCTGTCTGGCTGAAGCTGCCTGTTTATTTTTTTCTACTGTATCAGGAATATAGAGTAGGCATTACTGTTACACATTCAGATTATTTTTTAAAGTTGTTAAATAACTTTAAAAAGAAATTTTATACGTTTCTTGTTCCTTAAAATAAAAATATATCAAGTTGTTCAATAAAATTTACTATAGATTTATCTTAGGGGAAAAAAACTTCCCAAAAATAGAACAATTTCCAATCGTGTGTTGATTTGCATCCAACATAACAAAACAGCAAAAGAAATCATAGTTCAATAAAGCTTCTATAAAATGACAATTATATTGACAAAGCAGAGAGTTCCGAGAACTTCAGGCACCTGCTTTACTTCCCACATCTACTTACCTCTGGTAAGAACACAAAGAAAAGCACCTATTTGTTTAAATTTCTTTACTCTCTACTTTATTATCAATCCTGTCTTTACTCCCAGTTTGTTAACACAGAAAATATACACAAACCTTGAATTAGAATATCTAAATACACCAGTGTGGCTAGAAATTTGCACAACAAAAACTTCCAATTCCATTTAGGTTTCTTAAAAAATACAGTAAACATTTGTCTCCTATCTCTGCATTACAGTAGTTACCGTATTTTTTTTTTAATATAACACTTTTTCCTCATCAACTTCAACTAATATATTTGGAGTTCCTGTGTAAAAAAAGGCAACGGTGACAACAACAGTTTATAAAGCAAAAATATTCACTAAGAATCAACTTGAGTATCAAACTTACAGAGAAACTGGATTTCTATTTATTATAAAGCCCTACTTTGAACATGGTTGTCATTTCCCTTTAGATCTTTTTCTTCCTTCATTTGTGCTTTTCCTGGAATCTCAGCTAGGGAACACTGGCAGGGGGGAGAGGGGAGTGGGCTGCTTTGTTTTGGGTTGGTTGGGGTTTTTTTAAAGTCATACTGTATTCAACCATCAGAATTTTTTCTAAATAATGATTTATTTTTTTTTAAATCTTACTTCTTCAATCATCAAAATAACAAATGCCCAAATGGCAAAGACTGCATTCTAGAGTTCTCATGAGATGATAACATCTGCTTGTTGTCATTAAATTATTTTGAATTTGACCAGGCATTCAGCAGCAGCATTCCTTTCAGAGGAAGGAAACCACCAGCACCAGAACTTGCCACCATTCAGAAACACTGCCGGCTATGTTGCAAAAACTGTACTGGTGATCCAAGATTATCTTTTAAGAATTCTCTTCAGTATAAAAACATTCCCATTTAATTATTTACAGTTCAGTGAATACAGCAATCACAAGAGTACCAAATTTATTGTCATTGAAAACCAAGCCTTTTGCATAACCACAAAAAAATACAGTTTAGGGCAAATACAGGCAGCTACCCAGTCCTTACTGATCAGTCTGATCTCCACCATGGAAGAAATTCAGGCTGTGCTTTCATAACATGGCAATGCCAATTTGAGTGCATCTCAGTGCTAGGTGAAAAATAATGAAGTTGCATAACGCAAATCCTTTAACAGACAAAAAAAAAAATAATCCATTGATACAAGTGCATTCACAGATTTTGAAAGGGAAAGTTTTAACAACAAACTCTGTGCTGGACATTGTAACACCTGTCTTCCTCTAGCTAACTCAGCATTTCATCGCAGGCCCTGGCTAACTCAACGTAAATGCTATCATGTTCTCACTCTCCATCCAGACCACAGACTGACAGGTAATTGAGCAGTGCATAAAACCAGTTCTACTGAATACACAACCACAGCCTAAGGCTCCACAGAGCACTAAACATCTGTCTTCCAAACAAAAGCTTCAGGATCTAACTATGTGGGTATCAGCATAATCAACAAATATTACAAAGAACCAAACAAACAGAGGAACGAGCAGACAAACGATCACCATTTTCTATTACTTGCCGACCTTGATAAATGGCCCCGAGTTAAAAGTTACTTATCTTGTATTCAACCAGAATATTATATTAATACTGCATATTTAACTGCATACAGGTGATCAATTTCCAAAACAGAAAAGTTTTTAATATCAAGAAAAAGAATGGAATAAAAAAGAATAATTACAAAATCATTGAGGTTTACAGGTAGAACTGCCAAATTTATGTAAATTATGATAGACAGATAACATGGCATCAGACTGAAGGGCATCTGTAGGGTCGCTATATTCCTACAAGCACATTCAGCAAACATACATGTTTAAAACAGTTATTAAAAGTAAAGCATTTTATTAATTTAGTTAGCTCTAGAAGAGGTAAACAGCCTAAAAAGCTTTAATAAAAAAATACCTAGGTACAGTGTTCTTAAACTTCAATCATCAGCTAGAGTAAACAGCTTATTTTTGTAAAACATTAATAACACACAGAGTCATAACTAAATCTGAGCTCAAATCTAGTCCCTTAAGTAAAGTGAAATACAGAAGACTAATCTGAGCCCAACGGCTAAACTGACCTACTCACAAACTCTTTGCCAGCTTGCATTCTTCACCGCCAAATGACAAAGACCCACAAAGAACAAGTATGCTTTTCCTACCAGCCCAAAGGTGCTGGATATGGTCGGCACTGTCTTCCTGAAAGCAAGCTATTCGAAAAAAAAGGTAGCTTTGGGCAGGAATTAAAGAGACATGAAGCCTGCAAACTTCCTAATGAATCAAGATGATGCTAATGTGTTCCAGTCTAGCAGGGATAAGTGGAGAATACAACAGGGTATTCCACACCTCCTGTATGTCAGGCCAAGCCAGAAGGAAAGATTGAAAAAAAGAAAAACAGCCCCCCCCACACACAGCTTCACTGCTTTGGCTTCTTACTAGATACCTTCATTGCCACCGTTTTTCAAAAGAAAGTTACAGCTCAAGTTCTTCTATGCTCCAGTTTAAATGGCAAAGCTGATTCTAGGGCCACAAACATCCTATACTCTCCATGACATCACGTTTAAATATAGTGGATATTTATTTTGTCTAGATTGAAATTTAAGAGTTCAACCTCTATGGGTTTGGGTTTGTTGGTTTTGGGGTTGTTTTTGGTTTGGTTTTTTTTTTTTTTGGGGGGGGGGGGGGCACGGACAGGTGGTGTGGCAGGAAATCAGAAATGTGAACTACTTTCCTAACCTTACTGAAATGCAATGTAGGTGTAAAAGCTTACAGCCATATGTATTGTTGATAATGTAATACCAAGTTATCCCATATATCTATATAAAAATAAATACGAGACACCACATTCTATTTATCCACTGTGAAGCAGAATACTAGCCTCAGAAAGAATAATCATTCCAGTCTAAACAAACTTCTAAGTTCCTCCACCTTAAAAGAGGACTTCCTAGACTAAAAAAAAAACCACCTCAATAAGCATTGACAAAGACGAATAACAAGACACCGACAGGAATCAGCGTTCTTTAGAGTTTGCTGTGCTGTCATTCCAAGTAAAAACTCACAGTTCTCTTCTACAGTAGCTTCTTTGTTGCACAGCATAAATAAAAACATGTTATAGCGGTATTATACTTAAGGGGTTTCATGCAAGTTTATTATTTCTACTAAGCAGTATAACTTCTTCCCCAAAGTAACATTCTTCATTAACATATTTAGCAACCCATAAAGACCATTTTCTTGCTGTGATATCCAGCAAGGCAAACGGGGCTTCTAAAAGCCAACGCATCCCAAAGCCCGGCACCCCCTGCTCAGCACCCACTACTTCGCTCTCACAAATATCATCATATCGCATCAGAAACAGAAAGCGGCCCGGTGCCAGAACAGTTAAAGCAGCAATAACACAATTTATGAAACAGAACACCTTGCATCAGCCAGAGAGACAGAGGCAGATGATGAAAGAGAAGGAAGTTGGCAAACGCCAGCGCCCAG